AATTTACTTCTTACTTAGAAAAGCTCTTATATAGGTAGCATAATTCTTTTTTTTTTAGGTCTTAAGTTTTTCTTACTTTTATAATAACGCGTCTACTACTATATTAGCTAAACCTAGTTAATAGGTAAGCTTAAGGTTATAGTTAGTAATATTATTCGTCTAGTAGACCTACCTAGTAGTAAGTTTCTACTTAGTAGTAAAATACTCTAAGGCTTAGTAGTTAGTTAATACTATAAAAGGCTCTAGATCTTGTAAGCTAATTAGCTAGCTTCTCTACTTCTATATACTAAGAATAACTACTAGTATTTCTTTATTATAAATACTATAGTTTATCTAGATAGTATTTATTATCTTACTAAAGAAAGCTACTAGTCTCTAGATACTATCTTCTTAAAGTTATAAAAGAACTCTAGTAACTATACTATCTAATACGTCTATTTCTACTCTTATATAGTAATAGAGAGAGTAATAAGCTAGTATAGTATTAGATAGTATAAGATTCTTAACTTACTAAAATACTATAAGCTTAATTTCTCTAAAGGTATACTATACTCTTTATTTTAGTAGCTTAGTAAGAGGGTAAATAATCTAGCTATAATTCTTTAAGAAGGCTTAGTAGAAATTATAGAAACCTAGAAATAATTAAAGGCTCTTAAGAGTTATAGGTATAGGCTAATTCTAGATAGTAGTAACCTTTTTAGAGTTTTTTTAAATTCTATTAGTACTTATAATTAATTCTAGAAACTTAGTACTTTTAATAATAAATTTAGATTTCTTAATATCTACTTATAACTTAGCTTTATATAATTAATTAAGTACCTAGATAATATAGGCTTTATACTTAAGTAAATTCTCTAAATAAATAAGAATATTATTAATATATACTATATAGAAATTATCTAGTAAGCTATATAATACTTTATTAATATATTACTAAAAGGTAGTAGAGCTATTATAGAAACTAAAGAGTAGAACTTAATACTTATAGTTACTATACTACGTATTAAAAGACGTTAGGTTCTCTACTAACTTGTTAAGCTAGATCTAGTAGAAAGCTTACCTTATATCTAACTTAGTAAAGACCTTAGTACGTAATAGGCGTGTAAGCGTTTTCTAGATAAGAGAGATAGAATAGACGTCTTTTTTTATAATAGCGTTAAGCTTTTAATAGTTAACGTAGAACCTCTATTCTCTACCTAGCTTTTTAGTAAATAGAACTAGTAACGCGTATAATGTATTACTATAGATAATAAAGCTATAATAAAGATAGTTCTCTAGGTAATCTTATACTAACTATAGGTACTCTAGTAATATGCTATAAAGAGAACTATTTATTAAGGTATTTTCTACTATAAGCTTAATATTATAATCTACGCCTTCTCTATATAGTAGTAGAGTATTAGAATTCTTTTTTAAGAAATAGGCTATAGTTACGCTAGTAAGAAATAGAAGCTTTTAGGCTACTAGTTAGTAGAGTTTCTTCTCTAGATTAGTAATAGAGGTTTTCTTTCTATTAGTAATAAGCTAATTAACCTTATAGATACTAAGGTGCCTAATTATAGTATCTTTTTAACGCGCGTTAATTATAAAGGTAGCTACGCTAATTATATTAACGTTAAGCCTAGCCTTCTAGCATATTTCTTGCGAAATAGGTAGCTTTTTTAGCTTCTAGAGTAACCTTGCAGGCAAGTTAAGATTCTTAAGCTACTAGTCTATCTTATACAGGTTTTCTTAAAGCTTCTAGCGTTGTAATTCTCTCTTCTCTTATTATATTACTCTTAGCTTTTCTACTACTAATATTAGAGCGTCGCGGTAATTAGTATTAGCTTAGTAAGCTACTTAAGCTTTAGTAGTAGATTAAGAGAATTATATAAAGATAAACGCGTCGCGTTTATAATTAATTAATTAATTAGTATCTAGCTATATTAGTGCGCGCTACTTATAGTTAATCTAAACGTTAACTTCTTTAAGTAGCTTATAACTAATTATTATATTATAGTAGCTTGTGTTGTAATATATAAAGTAGGTACGTATTTAGTAGCTTTCTAGTACTAAATTAGCTTTAAAGTATTTATCTATCTAGCTATTAGGTTATCTATTATATCTAGTAAGAGAGATAGGTTCTATACGCGCTAGCTTAACGTAAAGGTTTTTTCTAAAGGTTTAAAGATACTTTAGGTATACTATAACGTAGCTACCTACTCTAGTATTAATTAAACCTCTAAGCTTAATTATAAGACTATTTATAGATATTTAGTAGAGTAGAGTAAACGTAGAACTACTAAATAGCTTTTTATATAGATTTATTACTCTAGTAGATAGCTCTAGAAAGAAGACTTCTTCTAGAGCTAGGCTTTTTCTAAGTTATTAGATTTGTATTCTAATATATTATTCTTAGGTACTTATAACTCTATAGGCTCTATAGGCTTCTTCTCTAGATTAACGTTCTTAATAGCTTTCTGCGTAGTAGAGACGCTTAGGTAATTATAACTTATATAGCTAGGTTACTAGTATTAGAAGTAGGTTACTAGCTTTCTAATTACTAGAGCTTTATTAGAGGTTAGTAGAATACCTAGTAGAGTAGTAGGCGCGTAACGTAGCGTTAACGTAAGCGTGTTACATTTTTTAACCTTTCTAGTTATGTAAGCTTCTTCTTAGGCAAGCTCTCTAGCAAGGTCTTAAGTAAGGTCTATGTATTAATTATAATTATAGGTATACTAACGTTAGTAGATACCTATCTACGTACGTAGGTTTACTAGAAGCTTCTTATAAAGCTTCTCTACCTATTAGTCTATAGAAAGCTAGCGCTTCTATACTAGGTAGAAGAAATTAATCTAGAAGCGCGCGAAGTTAGTAGTATTTTAGCAATATAGCTTCTAGAAATTATAGTAGACGTTTAGCCTTTTATATAGATTCGCGTAGCTTCTATCTAGCTAATTAAGTATATATTTATAAAAGATCTACGTACTACTATTTCTTAGAGAATATAGAATTATAGAGAAAGTCTAGTATACGTCTCTTTTTATTTACGTATATATATATACTATAATAGTTTTTTTAGTATTCTTAGCTATCTCTTCTAGGTACTAGTTACGATTAGCTTAAAGCTTATCTTATAAGCTATCTCTCTATTACTTAAAGGTAATAACCTTACTATCTAATAGTAATAGAGAGTCTAGAAACTTAGTAGAAAGTTTTATTTAGCTTTCTAAACGTTACTTAGTTACTAGTAGTATAGTAAGCGTATACGTAGTTAGATAAGAACCTAGAATTAAGTTATCTAGTAATAATGCGCTAGTTTTACGTATACGTAGTATCTAATTTATAAAGCGTATTACGCGTTAAGTTAATAGAGCGAGTAGCTTTTAGCTTCTAGAGTAGAATCGCGGTTACGCTTATAGCTATTAAATCTTTACTAAAGTAGTAGCTTTTTTCTACTATAAATTCTAATACTCTTTATATATAGTGTCTTCTTTAGTAAAGACGTTAGTAGTAATCTAGTAATATATATAGGTTTATTATTTAAGTATCTAGCGTATAAGTAGTTAGCTAACTAATTTATTAATAATTTTACTTAGCTTTTCTAAGAAAAGCTTCTAGAGCTTCTTTCTAGAGGTAGAAAGAGTATAAAAGCTATCTGCTGCTAATAAGTTAGGTATTACGAAGCTCTAGCATAGCCGTGCTAGCTTCTATTTAAAGTTAATATTCTAATTCTTATTAGTTATTATATTATGTTATTAAATAGGTAATTCGTAATAATAATATTAGTTTAAGTAACTAGCTAGCAGGTTCTTAGCCTAGAATTTAAGAATTATTAGAGTAAAGAGATACTATACAACTAGAGTCTTACTACTAGAATTACTTCGCGAGAGTTTACCTATAGTATTTTAGTAGTTTAACTTAGGTATAGCTTCTTATTTAAGAAGCAAGAGTATATACTAGTAGCGTAGTAGCTAATTATTAGCTCTACTAGTAGAGTAGAGAATTATTAATTTTTAAAATAGAGAGAGGTTTCTATATATAGAAGTTCTATAGAAGTTTTCTTATACGTAGAGCTTTTATAGCTCTCTTTAGCTTACTACTAGTAGTATCTTTTCTACCGCTAACTAAATCTACTAGTAGGTCTTATGTAGTACTAAGAGGTAAGTAATTAATTAGTAACGTTAATAGATTCTTAGAGTAAGTAACTAGGCTCTTATAGCTCTAATTCTTAGTATAGCTATTAGTAAACGCTTCTTATAAGGCTACTTAGTTTAGCCTAATATTATACTACTATCTCTAGCTAAAGAGGTATTAACCTTTAGATAATATAAGAGCTAGGTTTATAGTCTCTACTACTATAAGCGTTCTAGAATACCTAGCTAGGTAAGTTAGCTATAGGCAGTACTGTCTCTATAAGCTATAAGAATAGAGACGCTAGTAGAATAGGTTAGGTTAAATTTAGCTATCTAAAGGTAAGAAGTAGAAAAAAGACTCTAAGAGACTCTATATATAGAGGTGCCAAGCGCTAAGACACTAGGCTAGGTTACGTAATAAGATTACGTAACCTAAGGTTATATAACCTAAGGTAAATCTCTAAACTAGACTATTATAGATTAAAGAAATTAGAACCTAATCTAAGAGATCTATAGAAGCTAGACCTTAGTATCTAATCTAGCTAAGATAGTATATATATATAACTAGAAGAAGCTTACTTCTTATAGCTTTTTATAGTTATTACTTTATTTATTAAATTACTATAGAGACTTGCAATTTATAGTATTATTACCTCTACCTCTTTATTACTAAAGATTCTAGTCTAAAGTATACCTCTTACCTTCTCTTATAAAAGTAAGCCTTAGTTTTAGTTAAGAGAATAGCTTATAATATAGAGCTCTATAAGAGATACGTAACTATAAGAAGAAATAGCTCTAGATCTACTTTCTTATATCTTTACTTAACTTACTATATCTAAGTATAAGATAGATACAGCTAAGTATTACTTTATTAAACTCTAATATCTAGTTTATTATTAAGAATAAGACTCTATCTAGATATTCTAGCTTATAGAGAAATATAGTAATAAGGCTATTATATAATAGATTATAGAATAAACGCTACTTAAGATAAATATCTACTTTATCTAAGAAAAGTATTATATTCTAATAAGTAGTAATCTAAAAGATATCTAATAGTTACTCTTCTAGCAATTCTATCTTCGTGCCTAACTTGCTAGCAAAAATCTAAGTAGTTAGATAGTATCTAATAAAAGATACAAACTTTACCTACTAAATAAAGAGATTGCTAAAGACGTTTAGTAATAGCTTTAGCTATAAGTATCTTTTTTACTTCTAGAAGGCCGCTAGTATATATAAGTAAATATTAAGAGAAGAATTCTAGAAATTATACTATAAGAGTACGACTAGACTATAACCTTTTCTAGTAATAAAGTTATTAAATCTAAACCTATTTATTAAATTAGTATAGGCTTTAGTAAGTGCTATAATAACCTTCTTCTTCTTCTTTAGAATAGTTAGGTAATTAAAAGGTATAGAAGACTACTAGATCTTACTAATACTAGTAACTAGAAATTTCGCTATATCTATAGATTAGCTTAATAGTTACTAGTAGAAGTAATATACTCTACTCTATATTTTTTTACTAAGGCTAAACCTAGGTATAGTAGAGCTATAAATAAGTAAATTATTCTTAGTTACTTTTATAGGTTCTAAGCTAGTACTCTTAACTTGCTTAGATAGCGAATAGATAGAATAGAGAAGGTTAAATAGTAGAATTAAGCTCGCGTCGTCTTCTTTATTAATCTTTAGTCTAGCGTAATTAGAATTTATCTTCTAGAAGAAGGTAGTATTAACTATAATTTAGCTATTAATAAGAAATTCTATCTTCTTTTCTTTATATATAAAGAAAGCCTACTTATTATAGTAATAGTAGCAGATTCTAATTAAGTAAATAAACTTCTTTCTATACTTAACTAGATTAGCCTTAATCTTACTAGCATTTATATAGTATTAAAGAGAGAATATAGAAAGGTTATTAATTTACCTTACTCTATAGAACTTAGAAATCTTAGCCTCTATAGATACTTCGCTAAAATTAGTACTATTAAAATTAAGATAGCAGTATTTAACCTTCTAGTATTTTAAACTAGACTTTGTCTACTTTTACTCTCTAAAATTATACTTAATATATTAAGAGCGCTCTATACTAGAGTAAGTTATATACACAAGAGCGTTTAGTTTAAATAGAGTCTATAGCAGGTTATATATAATCTATTAGCTCTATAGAAGTATATCTAGGCGCTAGGCTATAGCCTTATAGGTATTCTTAATATAGTTAATAAGTAATTAAATATATTTCTTATTTATATAGTCTATAGAATATATATTATTCTAGAATTAGACTAAATCTAGTTCTAGAAGATAGTAGTATAGTAAATACTACTTAACCTAAACTTAGTAAGCTATAATTTTCTACGTAAAGAGGGGTAAATTATAAAAAGCTTTAGTTTATTTAGACTAATTATATTAATACGCTATAAGATAGTTCTTAGAGCTTCTTACAAAGACTTAGATTTAATATTAATATAATATATTATCTCTTTTATATTCTAATCTAGTATACTCTTATTAGTAGAGTATATATTATTTATAGCTATTATACTAACCTATTCGCGCGTAAATAATAAACACGTAGTAGTCTAAATTTCTAATCTTGTTACTTAGAGATTTAATAATAGTATACTAGTACGCCTTCTTATTCTAGCTAGAATATATTAGCTAGTTAACTTATATATACTATTAGAACGTATATACACTTTATTAACTATTTTAAACCTAGGTGCGCAAGAAAAATCTATAGCGTCTAATTTAGTAGAGTAAGGTTTATTAGCCTTTAAAGTATTTGTAGTTACTTAGACTACCTTAACTATATTCTTTAGCAGCTTAGCTAGAGATATAGTAGTAATTAAATCTAAATATAATAGGCCTAGAGTAACTATAGGTACTTGTAGGCTATTATAATACGAAGAAGTATCGAGAGCCGTGTTGTATAGCCTTAGAGCCTTAGATTTAACTAATATAATTACTCTACGGGTAGTAAAGTAATAAGCCGAAGAAGGTTAGTACTTACTCTTAAGAAGCTTCTAATCGTTCTTATAGCTAACCTGCGCGTATATAAACTCTCTAGAGAAAACGCTAAGTTATATATATTAATATTATTATAACGTACATAAAAGCTTAATCGAGTTAAGTTAGTAGAGTATATACTAGCTTTTCGCCTCGGCTATATACTTAGCTTATATTTATATTACTAGTTTATACTATTCGTATATATCTTTCTACGCTACTTACCTTTATTATAAGATACCTATAGATGTAAAGAGGCTTACAGACTAATTAGCTAACTTTTAGCATACAAGTTACATAAAATAATCGAACCGTTTCTAGCTTTATACCTATTAGAGAACAATTATATATATAGTAAAACGCCTACTACTCTATCTAGATACTAGTAGAACTAAGAATTATTATAGGCTACTAACTTAGATAGCTTAAAGAAAGTTTTAAGAAAACGCCGCTACACTCTAGTATAAATTAACTAGAGAAATAAATATATTAAGCTTTATATATTTAGTAAGAACTATAACCTCTAGTAGCTATAGGCTTATTATAAGACTTATATACAAAATAGGTATATATTATAGAGTAAGTATATATAGAAATAAACTAAATAGTAGATAATTAGCGTAACTACGAATTCTTATACCTATTAGTGCGTAGGTAATACGTCTCTACCCTCTTTAGCTATACTCTAATAAAACTAATAAGCGTTATTCTAGAAAATAACGCAAAAGACTTAATATACGCTACTTTAAGGCAAGTTTAATTTAAGTAAAAGTATAGTTTATACTAATAATTTATACTATTAGTTTATACCTATAATTCGCATCTATAATTTATATCTATAATTCGCCTCTCTAATTTACGCCTATAATTCGTATCTATAATTTATATCTATAATTTACACTTATGTATAGAACTCGCCGTAGAAAATTTTATAGGTTAAGTTAGATAAGACCTACTCTTATACCTAAGACTTTGTAGTAATAGAAACGAAAACTTCTAATCTATAGTAACTACGTAGTAGAGTTATAGTCTTAGCTCTAACTCTACTACGAATTTCTAAACTCTACTATATAAGTAATAGCATATTAGTAAATAGCTCTAGTAGACTCGAAGACGTTACTTTTAGAGAAAGAGGTTATTTTTCTAAAAGACCTAGAAGTTAGAAGAAGAGTTCATGAATTTAACTAGAAGTAGTTTCCTTTCTAGACGAAAGAGGGTGTTAATTTTTATCGAATAAGCACTCTTAAGAACGAGGTAAGTAACGCGAAAAGGTTTTATAGATATATTATCTAATAATTATAGCGTATTTAAGGTATAGTAGAGTTATTTTTCGAACGCTTAGAGTTAGGCTTACTAAAAGTCTTCGGCCTAAGAGAGAATATCGTCTTTACTTTCCTAAATAACTCTTCGAATAAGTTAAGCAAAGTAACTAATAAGACGAACAAGAGAAAAGATAAAGTAAAGGTTCTTCTTGTCTAACTATTACTAAGAAACTCTACTATAATCTTCTATAAGCGCTCGCACTTATATTTTCTAAAAGCTTAGACTATAAAGATTAGGTTATTATAGATTCTATAAGAGAGCCTAGAAAGAGAGAATATAAAGCCGTATAAGGTTATAATAAAGAATAGTAGTTTGTAAGTTAGCTTCTTATAACTTTAGTATACATCTTCTAATACCTTATAGCGCTATTATTAATAGTAGACTTACGTTCTAGATTGTTAGTAAATATACTATTATAGTTAGGTTTACGGTAGAGAAAGAGCTTAAGTTTTAGTAAAAGATAGGCTTTCTAAAAAAGACGAGCGTAATATAGAAGATAAAGAAGATAGAGAGTAAAAAGATTAGTATAAACGTTAAGTTTGTTAATAAGAGATCTATAGACAGTAGCATTATAAGCACTACGCAACCTTAATAGCGTTAGCTAATAGCAGCTTTGTATTATTCTATTAAACCTGTATTATAATTCTTTATAGAAGTCTAATTAATACGTCTTTTATTAATAGTAAGAACTCTTATAAAAATATTAGTGCTATTAAATAGAAGAGAAATTTGTTTAGTTATATTTATTACGTACTAATCTCTAGTCTTATAGTTACTACTCTAGTCTACTATATAACTAGATAATAGTTCTACTCGAGAAGGCTATTACTAAAAGAGCCTATTATTCGCCGTAAAATCGTTCGATAACTAGCTATTTCTAAAGAGAGATTAGTCTTTATATCTATTCTATAAAGAGATTTCGCTAAATAGGTATAGTGTCGACTTTTCGAAAAGTTTTAGTATAGTAATACTTATAAGGTAGAGATATTTATACTCGCTATAGTAGCTCTAAGGCTTACGCCTAAATTAGGCGCTAATATACCTCTTATATAGACCTATTACCTTTAAGATAGTAGTTTTATATTACTAGCCTTCTGCTTTTCGCTACTATCTTCTATATTAATATCTATTTTACTTAATCTTACGCTTTCTTTATATATTCTTCTTAACTCGCCTCTACTACGCTTAGATAGCTCGAACTTTCTCTTTAATATAGTAGTTAATTTAGTATTATTTTCTTTCTTGTTATATAACCTAAAATAGGCTAAATATTTATAGATTATTATCTCTAAATAGCTATAGAATAAGTAAGTCTTATTATACTTAATATCTATTAATATAGCTATTATTAGTAGAAGAGATATTATATTTAGTAGAGTATAAAAGAAACTTATAAGTATTAAAATAGTAGATTAGGCTACTTTTCTACGTATAAGTTTATATCTTATATGCGTAGCTTAAATAAGAATAGCTTCGTGTATAACGTAAGGTATTCTTCTTAGTACTATTCTCTATATTATTATAATTTATACTATTACTTTAAATACTATCGCTATAGTTTATAAAGGCGAGGTCTAAATTTAGTAATAATTACTAGATATCGTTAATTATAGACTAGATACTATTAAATATAGGCTAGATAACGTTAATTATAGGCTAGATACTATTAATTATAAATTATAATAATTTAATAACTTCTACTAGCTTATAAAATACTTTAGTATTAATACGTAAGTTATAGTAATTCTAGTAGTTTAGTTACTAGTTTAGATTCTATAATATTATTAATATATAGATAGATAGATCTTAACTTTAGTATAGATATAGAGTTAGTAGGTTAAACTATATAGTTAAATAGTTAGATACCTAACTAGCTTATATCTATTATATATATAAATTCGTAGAAATCTTAGTAATACCTAAAAATTCGCGCGCGCGTAAAGAAACCTACCTAAAATCTAGAAATTTATAAATTAATTAATAACGCTATAATTAATTATTATATAACTATTAGTAAGTTATAAAGCTATATAAATACGTGTATAGAGCTATACTAACGCTTTTTTTAGTAGAGTAGTTTA